CTTAGGCGCCCCGGCCTGGGCACCCGGGCTGCTGATCTCCTGAGCGCTTCTCTTAGCGGCCCAGCCTGCGTCTCCCGGCGCTGCTCCAGGCCCAGGTGCTGCAGTGGCCCCGGCCGCCTCGCAGCACCGTGGGGCCTCTTGGCTTCTAGGTGGAAAGAAACCAAGAGACGCGACTTTACACTGACTCGGACGACCGCGAGGCCTCCGGAGCAAGGTACCCAAACCCCTGGGCCTCAGTTGTTACTGGGCTCCCAGTCAGCCTGGGACGTCGCGCAACTTCATGCTGTCTGCCACAGCTGAGTGAGACGGTAGAATGCGACCCCCTGGTCCGACCGCGTCCTGGCTTCTAGAAGCATCTAGAAGCTTCGAAGCCTGCTCCTCGGGCAGGGGTGGGGGACCATTGTGGTCCGGAGCGCTGAGGCCCGGCCAGAGTTCCCGCCCCGGCTCAAGGCTTCGAGGGGAGGCACGTGCTTCTCCCAGAGTCTCCCGAAGACGCAGCCTGAGGCGCCACCTCTGGTTGCCGGAGTGTAGGGTTAGGGGTGTGATGAGGGCCTCCTCCGCTGGCTGGGAGTCCCCTGGGCGGCTGCAGTGGCCGCGGCGGTGGGACGCGGTAGGTCCCTCCCGGGCCGCCCTGCCACCTGTTAACAGTCAGGTTCTTTGAGAACTGTCCTTGGCTCACACATCTCTTCAAAGTAAGCTTGTTCTATTTGTGTTTTGGTGTTCGTGACAAAATGGAAACAACTAGAGTTTAAGGGGTTTAGGACATTTAGCAACCTAGAATTGAAGGAATTTAGGACATTTAGCAACCGTAGAAAATGTAGCGATGCTAAGACGTCTTTTTTTAAAGGCTCAACGAAATCTTTACTTTTTCTCTTCATAGCTTGGAATCTCTGCTCACACTGTATGGGGAAAAAAGTGTACCCTTAAATGAACGCGTGTAAGGTGCTTTGGGGGTAAAGGATGGGTCATAGCTGTAATTTTTAAAGTTTGCTTTTTAATCTTAAAGTATCTCAAGGGCACTATTGATTTGTGGACGCTCTCAAATGATTCAGTAAAGTAACTTCGTTTGTTGAAGAGCTCTTATGTAACATCTGTAGGAGCTACTGAGACTGTATAGGAACAGCATTTTCCATTGTGAATTTTTTTATTTTGGGGGAAAAAGTCATAAAGCAATAGTGTTTTAACTGTGAGGGGGAAATATTAGGGGAAAAACAGATAAAAACTTAAGACACCGAGTATCAGCAAATTCATGTCTGCTATATTTCAAATATAGAAAAAACTGATTTCTTGTGTGAAAAGAAAATTACTATATTTATTCATGTAGAAAGAATTTGAGCAAAATTCCTTAAATTCTGCAGCTAAATTGCTGTTTTTTTCCAGTTATGAAAGTAAAAGATAAATTCACCACTCTGTCAGAATTAATTATATGCTAATGATTTCAATAGTGCCTGATGACAAGAGTTAAGGTTGTCTTTAGAGGTACTGTATAGAAATGTAATATATGATATATAAATGTCGTTAATATATACATTATTGGTACAGAAAATCTGGATCATTACTATTCTAGACCAGAAATCACTTGGCTTCTGATGCAGAATTAATTTAAGAACGGCAACAAGATATCTTTATATAATTCCCTAATTAAAAACAGAACAAGTTCTCAAAGAATTACTCTATATTTTCCACACTTTCTCTCCCTTCCCCTATACATTTTAATGTGTAAAATGAAAAAAAAACTCAAGTTCTATAATAATTAAAACCCACCAATTTAAAAATGAATAGTGGATGATAGCAATGTGCTGCTTATTTGACGATAAGAACATATCTTCAATACACGGTATTAATCTGCTTAAGTTCTGTTGGGTGTTTGGATGTACTTTTTGAAAACTTGAAGCTTTGGGGAGCTGTTTAGTAGGATTGTTCCTGAGAAAGCAATTATGCCTCGTAACCATCATATTGTAACTTACTGGTATCTTTAAAAAAAAATTGTATTGGGGTGAGAGAGAGATCTCATTTTGATTAATATTTCTTTAATCATGTTTTAAAATTGAGTTGGAGTTTACTTAAAACACTAGTCCTTCAGAAGCTTTAAGAGGCCGAAAACATTTGAAATTTTTTCAGTAATTTAGATGAAATGGCAGTTATGCAGTA